AAAATCTCTTTCTTGAGTGGTACTTGCTAATTTAGACCCCATCATTATATAAGCATAGTTGGGATTATTTTTTTTCCACTGTGCATCACTTTCCACTTATCAATGTTGAATTTCATCTGACATTTGTTGCCCAGCCACCCAGGATAGGGAGATCACAGTCAGCTTTGGACTTTACAAAATTATTCAATTTGGTCCCAGTACAGATCCTTGGGGAACACTGCTGTTTACTTCTCTCCGTTGTGAAAACTGACCATTTATTCCTACCCTTTGGTTCCTATCTTTTAACCAGTTACTGATCCATGAGAGGACCTTCCCTCTTATCCCATAACTATTTAGTTTCCTTAGGAGTTTAGTAGTGAGGGACTTTGTCAAAGGCTTTCTGAAAATCCAGGTACACTATATTGACTGGATCACCCTTATTCACATGCTTGTTGACACCATCAGAGAATTCCAATAGATTGGTGAGGCAAAATTTCCATTTACAAAAAGCCATGTTGACTCTTCCCCAACAAATAGTGTTCATCTATGTATCTGGTAATTCTGTGCTTTACTATAGTTTCTACCAATTTGCCTGGTACTGAAGTTAGACTCACCAGCTTTTTAAAAATCGGTATTACGTTAGCTACCTTCCAGTCATCTGGTACAGAAGTTTGTTTCATACTATGGTTTCATATTTGAGCTCCTTCAAAACTCTTGGATGAATACCATCTGGTCCTGGTGAGAAAAGTTGGCTGAGGTAATCTCTTTTATTAGACCAACTTCTGTTGGTGAGAGACACAAGCTTTTAAGCCACACAGAGATCCTGGTGACTTATGACAGTTTAATTTATTAAATTGTTCCAAACCTTCTCCGGAGACACCTTTATCTGGGACAGTTCCTCAGATTTATGACCTAAAAAGAGTGACTTGGGTGTGGGAATCTTCCCCACATCCTCTGCAGTGAAGACTGATGCAAAGAATTCATTTAGTTTTTCAGCAATGGCCTTATCTTCCTTGAGTGCTCCTGTGTCACCTTTGTCATCTAGTCACCCCATTGCCTGTATGGCAGGCTTTCTGCTTCTAATGTTCTTTAAAAAATTCTTACTGTTAGTTTTTGCATCTTTAGCAAGTTGCTTCTCAAACTCTTTCTTGGCCTGCCTAATTATACTTTTCACTTAACCTGCCAGAGTTTGTGCTCCTTCCTATTAATTATCTTCACTAAGTTTTAGCCTTCAAAGTTTAATGGATGCCTTTTTGTCTCTGACAACCTCCATTACTCTGCTGCTTAACCATGGTGACATTCTTTTGGTCATCTCATTATCTTTTCGGATTCAGGGTATACATGTAGCCTGAGCTTCTATTATGGTGTTTTTAAATAGTCCCCATGCTGCTTGCAGGCATTTAACCTTTGTGACACAGCTCCTTTTAATTTTTGTCTAAGAAGCCTCCTCATTTTTATGTAGTTCTCCTTTTTGAAGTTACCATGTTGATTTTTTTTTTGAGTATTATCCCCCCTACAAGGATGTTAAATTTAATTATATTATGGTGCTATTACCAAGCGGCTAAGCTACCTGTTGGATCAGATTCTGTGCTTCAGTTAGGATTAAATCAAGATTAAATGCTTCTCCCCTTGTGAGTTCCAGGACTAGTTTCTCCAAGAAGTGGTCATTTATGGTGTCTAGACATTGTATTTCTGAATCATGTCCTGAGGTGATATATACCCAGTCAATATGAGGATAGTTGAAATCCCCCATTATTATTGTGCTTTCTGCATTTGTAGGTTCTCTAATCTCCCTGAGCATTTCACAATCACTGTCACCATCCTGATCAGGTGGTCAGTAGTATATTCCTACTACTATACTCCTATTGTCCAAGCATGGAATTTCTACCCATATAGATTCTATGGTACAGTTTGTTTCATTTAAGATTTTTACCTTATTTGACTCTATGCTTTCTTTCACATGTAGTGCCACTCCCCTACCAGCACATCCTACTCTGTCATTTCTATATATTTCATTCCCTGGTATTACCATGTTCTACTGATTATCGCCATTCCAACAAGTTTCCGTAATTCCTACTATATCAATATCCTTAGTTGACGTGAGACTCTCTAGTTCACCCATCTTAGCAGTTAGACTTCTAGCTTTTGCATGTAAGCACCTGTACATTTTGTCAATATTCAGTTGCTTGCCTTCGTGTGTTGTATTTAAAGGGACTCTTACATTTGATTGTTCCTCAATAACTCCTACCTGTACTTTACCAACTTCTTTCCTATCCTCTTTACTAAATTCATCCCTAAGAAACATCTCTGCCCGAACTGTGCTCTCCTCCTCACCTGTTGACTTTCCCACAGCCATTTCGTTTAAAAAATACTTTTTAATTATGTGTGCCATAACCATTTTGGTTTAGGTAGAGCCTTTGCCTCCTGTTTAAGAAGAATCCTTAAAGGGAACATGTATCTTCTAAAAGGGTGATCTCATTGGGATTATAAAAAAAAATCTGAACCTAGCTGAGCTTTCCTGCATGGCTGAAAATGTCTGGTTCATTTTTTCCCTTCATCCTTTTTCACTTATGCATCCTGCCCTTCTGGGCTGTGACTGGGCCTGGAAGCAGACGGGCCAGAATAATTCTAGAATGGATGTTCTTGAGGTGTTATCAGACAAAGGATCTCAGATCTCATGGGACATCTGTTCTCTGGACATCAGCAACCAAAATTTAGTCTCAAGACTTGTTTAGATAAGATTCTAGAACAGAGGTGGGCAAACTACAGCCCATGGGACCATCCTGCCCGGCCCCTGAGCTCCGGGCCAGGGAGGCTAGCCCCCCGGCCCCTCCCCTGCTATCCCGCCTCCCCCGCAGCCACGCTGGGAGCACTCTGGCCCACCGGTCCTGCTAGGCTGCACAGCTTGCGCCCGCCCACCTCCCAGGCTTTCCAGTAAGCCAGTCCTGTCGCTCTGAGCGGCATGGTAAGGGGACAGGGAGTGGGGGGATTGGATAAGGGACAGAGGGTTCTGGGGGGCAGTCAGGGGACAGGAAGCAGGGGGTGGTTGGAAAGGGGGTGGAGTCCTGGGGGGCGGTTAGGGGCAGGAGGTCCCGGGGGGCGGTCAAGGGCAGGAGGTCCCGGGGGGCGGTCAAGGGACAGGGAGCAGTTGGATGGGGCGGAGGTTCTGGGAGGGGGGCAGTCAGGGGACGGGGAATGGGGGGCATTGGATAGGCGTGGGAGTCCCAGGGGGCCTGTCAGGGGGCAGGGGTGTGGATAGGGGTAGGGGCAGTCAGGGGACAGGGAGCGGGGGGGGGGTGAGATGGGGGGGTCCCAGAGGGGGCGGTCAGGGTTGGGGGCTCTGAGGGGGGGAGTCAGGGGACGGGAACTGGGAGGGGGTGGATAGGAGGCGGGGGCCAGGCTGTTTGGGGAGGAACAGCCTTTCCTACCAGGCCCTCCATACCGTTTCACAACCCCAATGTGGCCCTCAGGCCAAAAAGTTTGCCCACCCCTGCTCTATACCCAACGCATGCTAAGACACTTTTCAGACAAGGAGATGGACAAGGTCCCTACCCCAAAGCACCCACCACTTCTCATTCATAGATTATTCAGTTATGTATGTCAAATATGTGCCACTTGGTGTAAAGTAATAGGCTGAGGTGGCTCCATTTCCCCTATTCCTGCCAGCCAGATGACAACATAGAAGGTAGTAGAACTTCAAAGAAACCCACAAAGGGTATATATAGGAGAAAGGTGACTGCCAGGATGCTTCCTCCTCTGTGTAAAGCCTCTGTTGCTTGTTAGCCCATGGCTTTGTGTAAAAGAGAGAGCTGGGGAGTAGGGATGCAGCAGGAGCAGGGGAATAGCACGTTCCACATCGTAGTGCAGACTGAGGTCCGCATAAAAATGAGGAATCAGCTAATGCCCGGAGCGGCATCAACTCTCTCTCCACGGTTTGTCCCCCATCAAAAGACTCCCAGAGCACAGGTGCTGGCTGAGAGATAATAGCAGCACATCCACCAAGCTGCTGCAACGCCTTTGCTCTGTGTCTGTGTCTCTCCATATGTGTGAGGAGGAGGAGAATATATAGAGAGATGTCTCCCCCTTACTACCCAACGGGGGCTGCCCTACCTCTTGGTACTAGCACACCATGGCTGGCCCCACGCCGAAGAGGGAATGGTGCATCAAAAATACCCCTTCCCCGCAAGTCCCATGCATCTTTGGGGGGTAAATGCTTCCATATTTTCATTTACACGGACGGGAAACATAGGGCCCTTGATGCTTTTTCTGTCATCTGACTCCAAATGCTCTTCCCCACAAAATTCATCTCCGATATTCCTTGCTCCCCATACTTGTGGCTCCCCACATCAGGGAGAGTTTCCCACACACAGAAGTCACTGAGATCTGCTGTAAAGCTCTAAGGGTAGCATTTTGCCCTAAGAAAAAGCTTGGTGTTTCTCCACATTAACTGATCAAGCTGGGCCCGAGGTTTTCACCTAGACCAGGGATCGGCAACCTTTCAGAAGTGGTGTGCCGAGTCTTCATTTATTCACTCTAATTTAAGGTTTTGCGTGCCAGTAATACATTTTAACGTTTTTAGAAGGTCTCTTTCTATAAGTCTGTAATATATAACTAAACTATTGTTGTATGTAAAGTAAATAAGGTTTTTAAAATGTTTAAGAAGCTTCATTTAAAATTAAATTAAAATGCAGAGCACCCCGGACCGGTGGCCGGGACCCGGGCAGTGTGAGTGCCACTGAAAATCAGCTCGAGTGCCGCCTTTGGCACGCGTGCCATAGGTTGCCTACCCTGACTTAGACCAACCTGGAGTGGTGATAAACCTGCTGCCTGTGAAAGTTAGCTGTACATATTTCTGTTCCTTTCAGCTGACTGACATCAAGCGCATATACAACTTGATTAGCATGAGGCTGCTCCTCCACTAACGCGAGCAATAGGATTCTGCCTTTGTGCTTGGTGATTGCTTTTGTGTGCAGTAACAATACTACTTTATTTCCACCCCCACCCCTTTCTGCAAAACTTAGGAACCTACTGGCATTGATTATCCTCTCATGGATTCAGCAAGTACCATCACCACCATAGTGGGACCGAGCGCTTTCAGTATTCCTTTGCCCATCAGACAAAAGCTCTGCAGCAGCCTTGATGCCCCACAGACCAGGGGCCATGACTGGAGGATGTTGGCCCACAAACTGAAATTGGACAGGTGGGTGTGTTGCATATATGAACTCAACAAGATGGCTGAGTGAATACATAAGGGCTGTTGTTATAGACCAGTGTGTACGCGGGAAGTGAGCTCACTTACTGTTGTCCTTGTTAAGGGTCCAACCCTGGTCCCAGTGAAATCAGTGGGCTATTTGCCATTGACTTCAGTGTGAGAGGAGTTTCTCAAAGAGCACTTTTACAGAGTAAGGGGCCCACAAAATAGCAAGGCTTGGATGAACCTCATAGGCAAGAGGAGAGTGCCAGCTGTTAAAAGGTGGGGCAGATCCCCATCAGCTGGTCTAAATCAGCCCAGGTCTATTTAAGCCAGGGGTGCAACTCTGATTTACACCAGCTGTAGATCTGGTGCAGAAGGTTTCAGTGCACAAGTGCAGTACAAAGACCTACAGACTAGTCACAGTGAATGCTCATGCAGAGAGTACATACTGGGTGTGGTTTGTGGATAGTTTGAATCAGCATTGACAGAGGCAGCCAGTCTTACAAGACCATTTTCCTTTGTTCTGTTGCAGGTACCTAAATTATTTTGCTACAAAATCGAGTCCTACTGGCGTGATCCTAGATCTTTGGGAAGCCCAGAATTTTCCTGATGGCAACCTGAGCATGTTGGCGGCAGTCCTCGAAGAAATGGGAAGACACGAGACAGTTGTTTCTTTGGCGGCAGAAGGAAAATATTGATGCAACCTTGGAATGAAAAAGAAGGAATGGAACTAGGGGAGTGGTACTGCCCTGTGAGCTATGAATAAGAAACAAAATGAATACCCAGACCAATGAGTTTCACAAAAGACATTTCAGAGAAGAAAACATCAGCCCTGACTTTCACATATGTTCTCCTTGTACATTATGACAGGATCTAAAAGAAATCATGCAAAGTTGTACCTTGAAAATATAAATCAACCTAACGTTCCCCTCAGCTTGGCTGTACACTGCTTGGTACAGGATTTTACAGTTTCCTAGGAAACGCTTTTTATTGCTATCCAGATGTATGGATAAACTTTCTTAACAATCCCAGTTTCTATGGACGTTGTTTACATCAAATACCGGACAGGGGTAAGGAGACTGTCCAGGGCTCTTTATATTTTTGTTTAAAGCCATTCTAGACAAAGCTGTGGACAGTTGGTTGTGGCTATTTCAGATGATCAATTTCCAGTGAAATTCAGACTTTGGCTACAAATCCGTGCATCAAGTGTCTCAAAATAATCCTCTCATCATTGTTCTGTTTCTTAGATCTGGTTGTAAGACCAGTGTTTTGAAACGTATGCATCTGGAAAGCAGATAATCTGGGTGCTAAGCAGGAATGCATGTCTCTCTCCCCGCCTCCCCCAAGGGAATTCCACGGGTTCGTTGTGAAAAATAGCTGTAGGATTGTAGGGAAGATAGGGATTCATTTTCAACTCACAATATAATCCACTCCCTTCTTAAAGAAAGTGTGTGCGTGTGAGGGAGATGCAATTTGGAGTGTGGGTTGGGTGGAGGGAAATAACCCTGCAAACAGATTTTGCTATAATGATTATTTACTGATAAGTATCTAGTGCAAGGATTATTATTATTTTATTTTAATTTCTAATTTTGTCAGCAATAGCATGTATCATTCAAGTGTCAGCAGCACCTGTTCTCTCCCTTCTGGAGCTGCATGGGTTCTTCTAACACACTTCCCTTCAAATGCCACTCTCCCTCCCCTTCTCCAGCCATTGTGCTCACCCTGCAAGGCCTCAGGTTGCCAGCAGGGCATGCTCACATGGTTAGCATACACTGGACCAGATCCTCCACTGGTGTAAATTGAACTCAATGATTTAAACCAGCAGAGGGTCTAGTTCAATGAGTTCCAACTACCACACCATGTGAGCTACTGCAACACCCCCTATTTACTAATGATTTGAGGAGCAAACATCCCATTGTTATGCTGGAAGCCGTGCTGTGAATAAACCCTCCCAAACCAACTACACATAGCCCTTAATTTTCAGAAGCACGTGTAGCAACAGTATGCAGGTACTTCTCGTGAATGCCTGATGTGGATATTCATGTGTGACATCAGGCAATGTGTGTGCAAAAATATGCATGTGTACTCTGGAAAATAAAGACCATAGGCTCTGTAGTTTTTTTTAACAGGTCTTGAACAGCCACCACTCCCATTTACTTTCCTTGGAATTGTGGGTGCTCAGCCCCACTGAAAATCAGTCCCTTCCATTTTGATCAAAGGTGTATGATAGTGGAGGACAGTTATGGAACGGGGAGGCTGCTCCATTTTATTCTACAGGCAAATTCTGCTGTGTGTGATCCGTATGGTGGATCTTTACTGCTGTTCTGCCTCCATGGAGGGAAGTGCCACTAGAGACCATGAGAGTTCCACCCCGCAGGGCAGTGTAGAATAACAGTGTTGAATTCTGCTCTACAGCAGAGCTTTCTCCTCGCTATTTCCACACCCTATAAATGCTCTTCGAAGTTGTCTCAGCAGTTACGGCTGGAACTCATTTCCACTGTGGTAGAAGGTGCTCATTTGTTTTCATCTCATGTCCCTCTTGGCCATTTTGATGTGTGCAAACAGCTGATGTGGGGAGTTAGGCAAGTAAAGCTAACTGTTGTTTTTCCGGTTGCCATTTCTTTGCAGACTTGTTTTGCTTTGTGCTTAGTGGGAAGAGTGACTCTTTTGTATGATGTAGGCCAGATCATTTCAACATTTCTTCCTAACCTTTCCTTTCACTTCCAATGCTAGGAAAGCATTCTCACCCACGCCATCGAGCCAGCCCCTGATTATTTTATTTATTTATTTTATACTCTCACTTTGTATTCTTCTAGGGGATTTTTTTTCTCCTCAGGTTTTAAAGTCTGCATTTTTAAATGTAACTGTGGAAATGTCATTCGTCGAAATGGAAGGCGAATTTCGTCTGACCTTTTCCCCATTTTGACATTCCTGTAGGCTTCTTAGCTTCAGCTCAGTGTCACCGACAGTGTATTTATTAAACACGGGACAATGTTCATAAAAACCATTCCCTGGTAGAGAGCAGTTTGCCAGCAACTCACAAGTGGTGAAACCCAGATATAGACTCATAGGGCTGGTGTGCACAGGTTCTTACCTGCAGAATCTGCCTGTGTTTTAGTGTGAAGTGAAGGACTCTCTCTGATGCTCTTCAACCTGATTGTCCTTTTCATATGCAGCCTTATAATCCTGTTGTTTTCGGGCCTAATCTAAACCCCATGGAAATCAATGAAAGTCTTTCCATAGACTTGAGTGGGTTTTGGTTCAGTCTCACTATTTCCTCTAGTCTTCCCCACTACTCCCCTCTTGTCTCCAATATGCCTTCCCAACCTAGCCTCATCTATGGCCTTCTGACTCCTTCATTTCTCCCTCTTTAGGGAAGCAGAGTCCCTGCCTTTCAGCAACATTAACCATTTTCCCACACTCTGTTCCTCCCCAACGGTGTAAGAGGGGGGCTGAAAGATGTGTCCCAGTTTTCCTCCCTTTCAGCTCCAAGCAGGTACGTCTTTCATACTCCTCCTGCTGGGCTGCTCTTTCAGACAGGCTGATGCTGTTTTCTGTCTCTCAGCTCCTGCCTTCCACTCCTAGGAGCAGCTTTTGTCGTATAAAGCTCTAAGATCCTTTGAACTCGCTACTGTATGTTTTCACTCAGTACGCAATTCTGACAGCAGGTCAACATCATTCTCGATGTACAGTACTTCCCTCATTTTGCCACTAAGGGATTGGTCAGTAGAAAAAGCTTAGCCCATATCCTGAGGGGGGTGGAGAGTGAGTGCCTATCCAAACTAATATTGAGAAAGGGGAGGTGCTCTTGACTCAGAACCGAAGTTGTTCCTATTCTTATTCCAGCCCATTTGCTTGGGTGTCCAGTAATCTGAAAAGATCTCAAGTAATCCAGTGTAGGGACAAAGGTGCTCTCTACTTCCCTTCTCTACTGCAGATACATTTGCAGCTCAAAACTCATCTTTCTAAATTTCACTTGGAGTGCTCCACATTCAATATGCATCCATTCCATTGAGGAAATGGAGGGGATGGGGGGGGTGTTTTTTGGGGAGAGGGATTAATTTTCAAAATCCCTTGGATAGGAGAAAATAGAAGCAGTCCTTACCTCTGTATGTTTGTACACACTGCCATCTAGTGCTATGGACCATACTCTTTATGGAATACTGACACCAGCTTAAAACTAATAAAGATTACCTTACATATTACCGGAGGGAAATAAATGTTGTGAGCCGGCTGTTTAGAATGGCAATTCAGTTGTGCAGACAGCACCAACTCTTAAGAACTGTCATAACATTTACAGTGGGGGAATCAGCTTGTTTAAAAGATGACTGCACGCTTCTTATCCTCAACATATTTACTTTTTTTAAAAAAAAAAAAGCTTAATATTTTCATTGCCCACCCCATGATTTTGAATTATTGCAATTTTGCTGCTCATTATGCCACCTCCTCATTACATGTTGGTTGCTAATGATATAAATAAAATATATATGTTATATATAAATATATAAAAAATATCTACAGACTTTGAAGAAAATCTTTAGTTTCTGATTTAAAATCACTATTGGATGGAGTTGTTTTAGCCTCATTGCTTTGGGTTCTTTTGTGTTGTTTTCCTCGTAAAGGCAGCTGTCAGTGTACTTGATAAGTCCTGTGTAAGTTTTACATGCACACCAGCTGTATCATATTGAACAGTGTGAGACCCGGTGATTATTATTTTTATGAATCATGTACATTCTGAAGTGATTGAGGTCTCTTCAGACAGGATTTGATGGTTAGTGACCAAGACTCCTTTTTGACATCCACAGAAATGTAAACATTCACAGGACATTTAGCTGTTTGGGAGGCACATAGAGCAAAGATATTTCTGTCAACCTGAGTATCTTGGCTTTCTGTTGCTCACCTATAGATGTATTTACACAGAGTAAGCCTATTATCATGGATAGGGTCCTGATGGGATTCTTGGCTTGCTACCCAAAATAGGCTTGGGTTTTTTTTAACCTTAGACTTTGTTGTGTGTTTTAGTCGAGTAGTGACTACGGCACTTAGATTAATTTTATACACGATAATACGGTTGAGTCTGTTTGATCCTAAGTTCAGGGCACTTTGTAAACTACCTTACTGAGCATTTGAAAATCTTTTCAGGTATTTTTCTGATCTGGTGGCTGGCCCTGAAGTGACTAGTCACCCTCAGAGGTCAGTCAGAAAATAAGGATGCAAGTGGTTTAGGAATGAAAACAGAGCCTTTACACCTTCCCCTGTGAGGGACTCCAACCAGGTATTCACTTCAGGGTCACCCTTATTGCTATTTCTAATCTCCATTTTGAGCGTTTAGTTTGCAAAGTTTTGTAAGGCACATTGCAACTTTTTAAACACATTTCAGTATTATGTTCCCATCAAGGTGGGGCTTTCACATGAATGCAAAGTTGAGGGCGGGGTGGGAGGGCAAAAAATGATATTTATAGTAAGCGCTGGAGGCCCTTAGCTATTATGTCAGATAAGTGTGGTTGAATAAGCGATTCCTACTTCCTCACAGCCTAGCTGCTGCTTTGGAAATGACTCTACAGTGAAGTTACAATCCCTCTACTCCATTTCATTCCAATGAGAAAAAAAAAATGGTGATGTCCAAAATTCAGCATTTAGCATCACTGCAAGCTCAGGTAAGCAGAGCTGTGGCAGGAGGGAGGTAATGGTTTCAGTACTAAGAGGGTTGGTAACTGGCAAGACAATGCATGGAGATGGGCCTTCACTAAACCCCCACAACTGAAAACACTGTCTGGTGGCATGAGCTCATCTCTGGATACAAACTCATTCACTTACCCCCCATTTGAGCTTGGTATGTCTCAAAGTCCCTCCTAACCCAACATATGAAAGTCCCTCTTCAAGCAATGCCTATACAAAAAAAATATAGATAATTTCACTCATCTCTATAGGTGAAAGGGTATTTAGCATTTCTTATGATGTCACTGAAAGTGTACATTACATTAGTGGGTTAGTCTTTGCTACTTTTTACAGAGAAATTAATTGCTATGTGTGTATTGTACTCTGGATTTGACCTTCTGATTGCAGGAGACTCAATAGTTCTAGCATCAAGCTAACTTCTGGGTTTTCTTTTAAGAACCCAGATGTTACATGTCACATCATTCAAAGCAGGATATCAATTTCTGGTTGGCATCCAGTGGCAGAACAGGCCTTAGTGGAGAACAGCTAGCTTTGTTTGCCAGAGCTTAGGTGGCCATTTCCACCAATCTACAGTAATGTGTAAACCAAGGATTCTAAAAAGAAATAAGCCTGCAAAATAACCAAGACTATAAAGAGTGAACTACACTGTGGGCTAGGGCAACCAGATGAGAGGAAGAAAATATCGGGACATGTGGGGGGGTCCCGCTGGAGCAAAAAAAAAAAAAAAGTGGGAAATATCAGGATGCGGGACAAATGCCTAAATATCGGGACAGTCCTGATTTTATCGGGACATCTGGTCACCCTACTGTGGGCTCTCACTCTCCAACCCATGCATCAGCCACCAGCCCCTCCAGAGCAGGGCATAAAACACAGTATTGAGCATTTGTTCTCCCCAGTTATAGTACAGGATGTACATGTTTGACTTAATTTACTAAAATGCCCTCTTTCCCTTTAATACTGAACAGTGACATGCAGATCACACAGTCAATGCCTTTTTAAAACACAGAGGTCTCTAACAAAGGAAAATCTTGCATGGCCCATGCTTTGAAGGTATGTCACAGTTCCACTACAGACATATTACTTAAGGTTGTTGGATTTTGTTTTGGGGTTTTTTTGCGTGTTGTTCCGATACCAAGATGTATTTTGTTTGGTTTTCATTTTCCTGTTGCTGTATCTTCTATGCAATTCCTTTTCTAAAGAATTACTAACAGAGAAGTGCTAGCCATTGCATTATTTGTATTGCTGTACAGTGGAGGTGTGGTTTACTAGTTCTGAGTGTGCCTCTTCTCCCTTTTTTCTCCTTCCCTCTGTTTGTAAATGCCTGCATTTATTCTGTCAGCTTGACATGTACAAAGTGTAAGAAAGAATTTTTAAAACAGGTAATAAATTATATTTATAAGCAACTAGAAAAAAAACAACCTGGTGTCCAAATGTTTGAAATAAGCATCCCTTCTTGCTCTTTGAACTGTATCATCTTGTAAGGCAGGAGGCGCTGTTTGTTTTTATATTTTTGCACATCTGTGTCCTTAAGAGAAGTGTTCTTGGATATAAATACATGCTAGGACCCAGTCTTACTTCTAAGATGCTGTATAAGACAGCAGGGATCAGCACCACAAATTTGTGGAGGGACATTATGTCCTGCAATTTGAAGTTAAAACTAAACTTTTTTTGGGGCGGGGGGGAGTGAATAGATGCTGAGATGCATGTTGAGAATAAAAATGTCTATCCATGATATTGCATCTGACTGACTGTTACCCACTGTGGGGTTTATAACCCAGAAATTACAAGAATCTGTAAAAGCAGTACCATGTGGTTGCCACTATTTGAGTTAAGGTCCATTTTGGGGACTAAAGATATTGAACATCAGCATTTTAATGTGGTTTGGGTTATTGTACCTGCACCAAACTCATGAGTAACAAAAGTGTCTAGCACTGTCAGACCATTATTGCAGCATCTCTAAGTTCTTTAGGATCTCAACGTAAGAGTAAACAGTGGAAGTTTGTGTCCACATTTGTCAGCTGAATGTGTAAGGCAGGGCAAAATTTGGACTTAAGTTGAAGGAAAAAATGTGTCTAGAGCACAGGGGTATTTAGTGAGGTGCTGGAGGAATGGCATCTTATTCCTCTACCACTCAGCAGGCCAGCAGCCTTGAAAAGGTTCACAAGAGCAGAACCTATAATAAACTATCTATTATTTAATCTTAAACCCACAACGGATCATTAGATCATCCTACTCTGACCTCCTGGATAGTCCCACTACATTACATTTCACCAAATGGTGTTAGGTGGACTAAAAAACATCAGGCAGAAGGCTAAACTGTTGTGTACCACAGACAAACAGAAGAGACCAAGGCACAACCACTGCCAGGGAATTGATGAGATGAGCCCAGATAGTACTGCTCCGGATCTCAGGATTGTGGGGTCTACCATTCCTATTGGGAATGACAGACAGTGAATCAAGAGGAAGGCTAATTTTAGACAGTGTTTTCTTCCATAGGGGAGAAAAATGGAATTGCACCAGATTAAAAAAAAAATTATTTCTTCATACCTCAATACAATGAAGGGTTAAGCAGGCTCTCATTCTTGGGCTGCCTGCACTGAGAAAATGGATGTATCTGATAAACACAGCTGACTGCTGGAGCCAATATTAAAAACTCTTATCCCATTGATAGACAGGGACAATCACAGAAAACCACATTTCACACATAGGAGAGGCCTAGCATACTCTTACAATGGGCTTTACACACAGTAACTTTACACCTACAGGACAGCTGTTTGAGTAGCTGCTCACTGTTGCAAACCTCAAGTCTAGCAATAGCTGATGTTTTTCTCAGAGGCCCAGCTCCTAGAGTTATGGGATTACATGAAAACTCACTTCAGTTGTATAGTGATTTTCTAGCTGTCATGATTGCAGAGAAAAGCCTGAACACATGACCTGAGTACACCCAGATGGCTCAGAAACCAGAAAGCAACTAAAAGAATCCAAAGTAATTTAAAGCCTTCATGATTTTTGAATGCTTGGGGTTACTGATAGATACTGCCTACTTCAGGGAAACAGTTGAGGGTCCCCTGTTTAGACACTCTTGGCCTGATTCTCCTCTCAATTAGGCATACACTGGTGTAAAGTCAGGAGTAAGTCCATTACTTCCAATGGAGCTATACTGGCATAGATCAGAATCAAGATCAAAATTGAAAATGTAGCCAATGCCCCAGCTACCAAGGTTAAGCCAAGTCCATGGCAGACATGAAGCTGCCTGGTGAATCTCATCCCTCCCAGTCTCCTCCTGAGGAAACACAGCTTGCCCCAGTGTCTGATTTAAGAAAAAGCTAGAATCAGTGGGGGACCAAGCATGGCTTCTTCTTGCAGTGTGCCCAGCTCAAACCAGAGCTCTTACTTTAACCTGTTTCTTAAAGCAGATTAACCTTGAAAGGCAAGAATAATGTGAATCACCACAACTGAAATGCTGACCATAGGCTTACCCTCTCCTATTATCGGTCTCTTTTTCTAGGAGAAAGATATAGCCTTTGTTCATTAGGTTGCTTAATGGGTGATTTTATAGTCCCCTCCCTGACTTTTGAGAGAAGGGCTTAATTTAACTCTGATAAAGGACTAAATTTAACTTGGTTGGCCTTAGTGAATTCACCAGGGGTGAAACTGGATCAAAGTCTTTTCACATTTCATGCAGCAGTGGAAGGGAGAGCCCAGCTTCTTGAACCAGTTTCAAAAGCCAGTCCTCAAAATGGCTGAAAGCTGTTTCATGCCCCTGCATGAGTTTCCCATAAACATGCAGATGTCTTCTTACAGGGTCTTTCATACACCGGGGAATCAATGGTTTTTCAGCAGCTAGAAAGCAATCCTCCCAGTCCTAACCCATTAAGCTACTGCATGGTAGGTCAAACAATTTATGGTTCTCTTTCCCTACTCTCAAGCAGGGCCAGCTCCAGGCACCAGCTTACCAAGCAGGTGCTTGGGGCGGCCACTTCGGAGAGGGGCGGCACGTCCAGCTGTTCAGCGGACAGTCCCTCACTCTTGCTGGGAGCGAAGGACCTCCTGCCGAATTGCCGCTGCAGATTGCGATCGCGGCT